TCGATTTTACATCTATATTAGCATTCTTTATCATTTATAATACCTAGATATGTTTTAAAATGCAATTTAAAGCATTTTTGGTTTCGATCATAGTAGGCTATTTTCAAAAAAAATATCGATTTTATATCTATATTAGCATTCTTTATCATTTATAATACCTAGATATGTTTTAAAATGCAATTCAAAGCATTTTTGGTTTCGATCATAGTAGGCTATTTTCAAAAAAAAAATATCGATTTTATATCTATATTAGCATTCTTCATCATTTATAATACCTAAAAATGTTTTAAAATGCAATTTAAAGCATTTTTGGTTTCAATCATAGTAGGCTATTTTCAAAAAAAATATCGATTTTATATCTATATTAGCATTCTTCATCATTTAAAATACCTAGATATGTTTTAAAATGCAATTTAAAGCATTTTTGGTTTCAATCATAGTTGGCTATTTTCAAAAAAAATATCGATTTTATATCTATATTAGCATTCTTCATCATTTATAATACCTAAAAATGTTTTAAAATGCAATTTAAAGCATTTTTGGTTTCAATCATAGTAGGCTATTTTCAAAAAAAATATCGATTTTATATCTATATTAGCATTCTTTATCATTTATAATACCTAATTATGTTTTAAAATGCAATTTAAAGCATTTTTGGTTTCGATCATAGTAGGCTATTTTCAAGAAAAATATCGATTTTATTTCTATTTTAGCATTCTTTATCATTTATAATACCTAGATATGTTTTAAAATGCAATTTAAAGCATTTTTGGTTTCGATCATAGTTGGCTATTTTCAAAAAAAAATATCGATTTTATATTCTTTTTTAAAATGCAATTTAAAGCATTTTTGGTTTCGATCATAGTAGGCTATTTTCAAAAAAAATATCGATTTTATATCTATATTAGCATTCTTTATCATTTATAATACCTAGATATGTTTTAAAATGCAATTTAAAGCATTTTTGGTTCCGATCATAGTTGGCTATTTTCAAAAAAAATATCGATTTTATATCGATATTAGCATTCTTTATCATTTATAATACCTAGATATGTTTTAAAATGCAATTTAAAGCATTTTTGGTTTCGATCATAGAAGGCTATTTTCAAAAAAAAAATATCGATTTTATATCTATTTTAGCATTCCTAATCATTTATATTACCTAGATATGTTTTAAAATGCAATTTAAAGCATTTTTGGTTTCGATCATAGTTGGCTGTTTTCAAAAAAAATATCGATTTTATATCTATATTAGCATTCTTCATCATTTATAATACCAAGATATGTTTTAAAATGCAATTTAAATGATTTTGGGTTTCGATCATAGTAGGCTTTTTTCAAAAAAAAAACAATTTCTTATCTATATTAGCATTCTTTATCATTTATAATACCTAGATATGTTTTAAAATGCAATTTAAAGCATTTTTGGTTTCGATCATAGTTGGCTTTTTTCAAAAAAAATATCGATTTTATATCTTTATTAGCATTCTTTATCATTTATAATACCAAGATTTGTTTTAAAATGCAATTTAAAGCATTTTTGGTTTCGATCATAGTTGGCTAATTTCAAAAAAAATATCGATTTTATTTCTATATTAGCATTCTTCATCATTTATAATACCTAGATATGTTTTAAAATGCAATTTAAAGCATTTTTGGTTTCGATCATAGTTGGCTATTTTCAAAAAAAATATCGATTTTATATCTATATTAGCATTCTTCATCATTTATAATACCTAGATATGTTTTAAAATGCAATTTAAAGCATTTTTGGTTTCGATCATAGTAGGCTATTTTAAAAAAAATATATCGATTTTATATCTATATTAGCATTCTTCATCATTTATAATACCAAGATATGTTTTAAAATGCAATTTAAAGGATTTTGGGTTTCGATCATAGTAGGCTATTTTCAAAAAAAAAAACGATTTCTTATCTATATTAGCATTCTTTATCATTTATAATACCTAGATATGTTTTAAAATGCAATTTAAAGCATTTTTGGTTTCGATCATAGTAGGCTATTTTCAAAAAAAATATCGATTTTATATCTATATTAGCATTCTTTATCATTTATAATACCTAGATATGTTTTAAAATGCAATTTAAAGCATTTTCGGTTTCGATCATAGTTGGCTTTTTTCAAAAAAAATATCGATTTTATATCTATATTAGCATTCTTTATCATTTATAATACCTAGATTTGTTTTAAAATGCAATTTAAAGCATTTTTGGTTTCGATCATAGTTGGCTAATTTCAAAAAAAATATCGATTTTATATCAATATTAACATTCTTTATCATTTATAATACCTAGATATGTTTTAAAATGCAATTTAAAGCATTTTTGGTTTCGATCATAGTAGGCTATTTTCAAAAAAAAATATCGATTTTATATCTATATTAGCATTCTTTATCATTTATAATACCTAGATATGTTTTAAAATGCAATTTAAAGCATTTTTGGTTTCGATCATAGTAGGCTATTTTCAAAAAAAATATCGATTTTATATCTATATTAGCATTCTTCATCATTTATAATACCTAGATATGTTTTAAAATGCAATTTAAAGCATTTTTGGTTTCGATCATAGTAGGCTATTTTCAAAAAAAATATCGATTTTATATCTATATTAGCATTCTTCATCATTTATAATACCTAGATATGTTTTAAAATGCAATTTAAAGCATTTTTGGTTTCGATCATAGTAGGCTATTTTCAAAAAAAATATCGATTTTATATCTATATTAGCATTCTTCATCATTTATAATACCTAGATATGTTTTAAAATGCAATTTTGGGTTTCGATCATAGTAGGCTATTTTCAAAAAAAAAACGATTTTTTATCGATATTAGCATTCTTTATCATTTATAATACCTAGATATGTTTTAAAATGCAATTTAAAGGATTTTTGGTTTCGATCATAGTAGGCTATTTTCAAAAAAAATATCGTTTTTATATCTATATTACCATTTTTTATCATTTATAATACCTAGATATGTTTTAAAATGCAATTTAAAGCATTTTTGGTTTCGATCATAGTAGGCTATTTTCAAAAAAAAAACGATTTCTTATCTATATTAGCATTCTTTATCATTTATAATACCTAGATATGTTTTAAAATGCAATTTAAAGCATTTTTGGTTTCGATCATAGTAGGCTATTTTCAAAAAAAATATCGATTTTATATCTATATTAGCATTCTTTATCATTTATAATACCTAGATATGTTTTAAAATGCAATTTAAAGCATTTTCGGTTTCGATCATAGTTGGCTTTTTTCAAAAAAAATATCGATTTTATATCTATATTAGCATTCTTTATCATTTATAATACCTAGATTTGTTTTAAAATGCAATTTAAAGCATTTTTGGTTTCGATCATAGTTGGCTAATTTCAAAAAAATTATCGATTTTATATCAATATTAACATTCTTTATCATTTATAATACCTAGATATGTTTTAAAATGCAATTTAAAGCATTTTTGGTTTCGATCATAGTAGGCTATTTTCAAAAAAAATATCGATTTTATATCTATATTAGCATTCTTCATCATTTATAATACCTAGATATGTTTTAAAATGCAATTTAAAGCATTTTTGGTTTCGATCATAGTAGGCTTTTTTCAAAAAAAATATTGATTTTATATCTATATTAGCATTCTTCATCATTTATAATACCTAGATATGTTTTAAAATGCAATTTAAAGCATTTTTGGTTTCGATCATAGTAGGCTATTTTCAAAAAAAATATCGATTTTATATCTATATTAGCATTCTTCATCATTTATAATACCTAGATATGTTTTAAAATGCAATTTAAAGCATTTTTGGTTTCGATCATAGTTGGCTATTTTCAATAAAAATATCGATTTTATATCTATATTAGCATTCTTCATCATTTATAATACCTAGATATGTTTTAAAATGCAATTTAAAGCATTTTTGGTTTCGATCATAGTAGGCTATTTTCAAAAAAAAAATATCGATTTTATATCTATATTAGCATTCTTTATCATTTATAATACCTAGATATGTTTTAAAATGCAATTTAAAGCATTTTTGGTTTCGATCATAGTAGGCTATTTTCAAAAAAAATATCGATTTTATATCTATATTAGCATTCTTCATCATTTATAATACCTAGATATGTTTTAAAATGCAATTTAAAGCATTTTTGGTTTCGATCATAGTAGGCTATTTTCAAAAAAAAAATATCGATTTTATATCGATATTAACATTCTTTATCATTTATAATACCTAGATATGTTTTAAAATGCAATTTAAAGGATTTTGGGTTTCGATCATAGTAGGCTATTTTCAAAAAAAAAACGATTTCTTATCTATATTAGCATTCTTTATCATTTATAATACCTAGATATGTTTTAAAATGCAATTTAAAGGATTTTTGGTTTCGATCATAGTAGGCTATTTTCAAAAAAAATATCGATTTTATATCTATATTACCATTTTTTATCATTTATAATACCTAGATATGTTTTAAAATGCAATTTAAAGCATTTTTGGTTTCGATCATAGTAGGCTTTTTTCAAAAAAAATATCGATTTTATATCTTTATTAGCATTCTTTATCATTTATAATATCTAGATATGTTTTAAAATGCAATTTAAAGCATTTTTGGTTTCGATCATAGTAGGCTATTTTCAAAAAAAATATCGATTTTATATCATTATTAGCATTCTTTATCATTTATAATACCTAGATATGTTTTAAAATGCAATTTAAAGCATTTTTTGGTTTCGAACATAGTAGGCTATTTTCAAAAATTATCGATGCTAAGAATCGTCCGTTTTATCCTTACCGGTATAAATTTAAAACAAACAGGACCTTTTCTTTCCTATAGTCGATCAAGGTCAAATTTTACAAAATAGAATTGAATTAGTCCTTATTATTTATGCTATAAATCTTGCAACGTATAAAAATATTTCAAATTTCTATTGAAATAGGAATGCTAAAGTTTAGCACGCTAAAAAGAAGAAAAAAAATAAAGTTGTTGATAATACAAATAATGAATAGTCTAAATATCAATATATCTAAAGTATGCCGAACATGTTTAGAGCAAAAGGATGAGCTAATTTCCTTGTATTCTGTTGATAATATCACAGGAATACAGCTTTGTGAAATGATATTGCAGATAACATCACAAGTTCAAGTAATTTAAGTGGGACATTTTATTTTATTAAATGCTTAAAAATATCTGTTTTTTTTTATCAGGTTTTTACTAAGGAAAATGCACCATCATCAATATGCTCAGAGTGTCATTACAAACTTAATATCACATTTCAATTTATTGAGCAATGTAAACATTCAGAAATTAAATTACAAGAGTTTTTGCGTAGCTGTCCTCAAGAAAATGATGTAAATGTAAATGACAGAGAAATAGAGGCAGCTGTACAGGAACTCTTTGGAAATGAAGAGAGCGAACAAGACATAAATCTTGTTGAAAATGTTGTTCTACCATCGGATTTAGATTCGAATTTAAAATCAACTGATCTTTTGAATATGGATATGATCCTTGGTGAAAAGACTATAAAAAAATGCAAAAAATTTCCAAAGAGTAGGACAGACAAGAAAAATTCACATCTTGATCAATTGCTCAAAACTCATAAAGAAAGAATGAAATTGGAAAATTCTTCCAAACTACAAATTTTTAAACAAAAAAGAAAGAAGAAAATTACTGCACTATCTGAGCCTGAGCAATGCTTTCAGTGTGGAAAAGTTTTTCATTACAAGGGATATATGGAACTTCACTTAAGGACACACTCTGGATATAAACAATTCGAATGTGGTGTTTGTGCAAAAAAATTTACTCAATTATCAAATCTCAATCTTCATTTAAGAATTCATTCTAAAGAGCGTAATTTTTGTTGCGATAAATGTCCAAAAATGTTTTCAACATCATCTAATTTGAAGGCACATTTAAGAACACACATTAGTATCAAATCATTTCCATGTCCCCAATGTACAAAAGCTTTTAAATCATCAACTGAGCTTAAATCTCACGAAGGAACACATTCTCAAATTAAAAGCAAAATTTGCAAATTTTGTGGTAAATCGTTTTACAAAACATCGTATTTAAATGTTCATATTAAAAACATCCATTATGGACTGAAAAAATATCATTGTGATAGCTGTAATAAGTCATTTTCCAATAGTAGCAATCTTATAGCTCATAAAAGAATTCATACCGGAGATAAACCTTATCAGTGCAATATTGATGGCTGTAGTGCTAAATTTAATCAAAGCTCATCTTTGGTTAGACATATTAAATCACACAATAAAATGGGAAAAAGTAAAGGTGGAGCTATTCAACAAAAACACCAAGTTCAAAACCCAAAACAAAAAAGTCAAGATAAGGAAATTTTAACACAAGAAATTATTCAGCAAAATCTTCAAACTATTCAACACTTAGATAATATTGGAAGTCCTAATCAACAGATTATTCATCAACCATCATCTTTTCATTTCTCTAAACAATTAAAAAAGACTCCGTACATAATTCCAGAACTATTAAAAGACATTAAGTTATCAGAAAATTCGACTCATATAAATGAATCTATGAATAGTATTCGATCGAAAAATTTGCCTTACTGTCAGCAAACCCAGCTAAATCAAAACAACCATGACAATCAACATAGTTACATACCACCCTCTCAAAATTTACTACCGGAAATTTTGAACCCAATTAATCTAATTAGCAACTCTTCGACTTCCAGTTACAATCCAATATCTACACATTCAACACCATCATTACTTCTTCCTCCTTTACCTCCAAATCATGATCAACAAATAAATGATCACCAAATTCATCACTATCCAAGTTTCGAAAATTCTTCTACAACAACTTACTTTCCTACTACACCAAATATTTTACCCAACAGTTTCAATTTCATTATGAGTGGTTTAGATTTTTCAAAAAACTCATTAAATGGAGAGCCAACGTACATTGATTATTAATGCTTGAATAAAAATTAGAATTAAGATAAATGAAACTTTTTTTACATTTTAAAATTACAAATGCAATTTATTTATTTGTATGTTTTTATTGATTTATTTACTTTTCAATTACTTACTTTAAATTACATTAATTTATCGGAAAGATTTGTACACATTATTAAGATCGTATATCAAGAGACTATGAGGAAAATTCTATCCAAATTTAAAAAAAAAAATTAAATATAAAAAAAAAATTCTCTCATATTCTCAAATGACGAGTGTTTACATAAACATTCAATAAAACATTGAACCTTTTTTGGTGGTTAATTTTTTTATTTATTAAGTAAAGAATTTATTAAAATTAAATATATTTTTTTTGCATTAACATTAAACACATGTTGATACGTAAGTACTTTAAAATCATTGAAGTCTTAAAAAATAATGAGCCATATCTGACGAAGATGCAGGATTATGTAAAGATGATATTAAACCTATGGATGAATTGATGAATAACATTTATTTAATGTTCTTGTTTTTAAATTTACAATTGTTTATATCCCAAACAGCACAAGTCGGATAATCGAGACGAAATCATAATAATATTAATAAATCCTACACTGTCCTACATCAGGACGACGTTACGACGAAAAATTTGCCCTTCAGTAGTCCTAACGTAGGATTTCGTCTCAATTAACCGACTTGTGCTATTCGGTTATATTTTGAAAAAGTTTACCTGAGCTTCCATTTGAATTAATATAAGGAGCTCCATTAAGCTGATAATTTTCATTCGAACTGCATGGGGATAATCTTGATGGATATCCACCAATATTGATTGAATCATAATAAATCATTGAACTTGGTGGAGCTATTGATGATGGTGGAGTTATGCTTGTTGGCGGCATTGTGTGAGAACCATCTAATGGTGTACTTTGAGGAGATGATGACGTTGAAGAGTATGAATGATGATTTTGCAAAGATGATAAACTTGAGTGTTGTACTTGATGTAATGATTGTAAAGATGGAGAAGGAATATTTAATCGTGACATATGACATTGATATGTAGATGGTGGAGTCATATCATCGTTTCTTTGATGATATTGCTGATGTGGCTCATACTTGTGCTGTATATGTTGTTGTTGCTGGAGACCTAGGGGATTTGTTGATAAAGTTGCCATTGAGCTGATTGGTCCATGTGAAAATGGCATTGAACTAATTAAAATTAAAATAAATTTCATCTCATTTTTATATAATTTTTTTTTTTAAAAAAAAATATGTACCTATAAGAATCAGCAATAGACATCTGCGGCGTATACATTGGGCTCATTGTGCTACAAAATCCATGATTAAAATTAAATCTTGGCGGTGATAATGACGGAGCTGATGATGTAGGAGTAATCAAGCTCGAAGGAGTGGGCAAATGATGATTTCCATTTAATAAAGGATTATGCATTTCTCCAATAATATTTGTATTGTGACTCTCTGCTATGCTACTGATGGCGTGTGAATCGTGTAACATATTGTTAACATTTATTTGGCCATTTGTATTCACTTTAGAAGCAGTTTCTGTTGAAGAACTAGTATCATTTGCACAGTTGATTTCATGATTGTTGTTGGTATTCAATGAGCTACTGTTATTGTTGATGTTACTATTTGTGTTTGGTGTTGACAATCGCTGAGTCCGTAGCTTTTCTTCTCGCCTCCACTTTGCTCTAATTTTCGTTAAATACATTTATTATAGTTTATTATGTTATTTAAAAATTAACCTAATATTAAATATTACCTTCGATTTGAGAACCATACTTGAATGCGGGCTTCTGGTAATCCGATTTTTACGGCAAGACGTTCTCTAGCAAACACACTAGTATAAGGATGACAACAAGTAAATTTACAAATCTATTGATCTATATTGATTGATCGATAAACTTACTCTGGGTAATGTGTTCGTTCAAATTCCTTTTCCAGGCTGTCAATTTGATCATTTGAAAATGAAGTACGATTACGTTGCAATTTTCTTTTTAGCCTCAGCCTTGCTTGATCGTCATCGGTGTCAATTGTTGAATCAGTATTTGAGTTTTCACCCTCACCGGAAATATTTCCATCCGATTGCGTTTCTGCAGACATTTTTATTTCACAAGAAAACAGATCAGTAATAGAAAATATAAAGTTTACCTAATTTAACTTATTGTAAAGTTTTTAAAATTTCTTTACTACATAATTCTAAGATGTAAACAAAAAGGAGAAATAATATTTTGCAGATTCATTACTTATTGGAGATTTGTGAAAAATTCATTTTAAAAACCAATTAGGTCTTAAAAGTGTTTGATTTTTAAAGAGTTAAGGTATAAAATTTAGAAAGGAACTATGTCTTTACAAATATAATCACATTATATAAAAGAATGAAAACTTTGCACAGAGCATGTTTTCTTTTGTACTCATACTATGTGTCACATTTATGTTTTTATTGTATATATGCTCGATGTGTACGTGTAGAGTACGTATAAAGTGGGGAGGAGCATAAAATGTAAACCCCTCTTGCTTTTCGATCGCATACGTTGAAACGAGCATAATTCCATTATATATTTAATAAATCAGATCTCTTTATAGAATCGTTTTCGGGTGTACATATTTTTCGTTGTATGTTTTAATATTACAACAGAGTAAAACAAACAGGCAGCGTTCAGAAGGCAACTGGCAATAACAAAAGAACTCTGAAATGCATTTTACAGTCACTCAGGCAGAAAGTTGTGATAAGGTAAAAATTATTATTATTATTTTTTTAATAACATTTTCCTCTTCTTTTTAGCTTTGTTTCTCTATATATACTTCTTTTTCTTTATTCATTGCTTTTAATTCCCGTTATTCTTTATTGTTATGATTTTTTTTTTCACAGCAAAAGTATATATTCAAAAACTTATTAGACGATTTGCAATTAAAATAAAACATGTTGATTTTCAAAACTTTTTAACATTGAAAAACTAGACGAGAAATTAAAAGTTATTATTATGATTATTTATTTATTAATAAGTTATTATTAATATGAATAAGCTTCTACTATAATCAATTCGTTAAAAACTAGATTAGTATAATGTTTTAATAACTTGAAATTATATTTTTAAATTGCAAATTTAAAAAAAATCTAGAAGGGCACTAGTTTAGTGCTTCAAAACATAATTACTACAACACCGACATTACTAAGAGTTTTGCAATATTTCGTTTTTTTTTATGAAAGTTTTGATTCCATCATTAAATTGCTGTGGTTCTTAGCATATTCCCTCATGAAATTATCTTTAGTGGACAGCCTTTGCTAAGCTTAGAATAACGCACAGCTGATCAGTTTGAACAACCGTTAACTGAAGTTCTTAAGAAATGAGTTTAAACTTCAAAAAAAGCACAATAATTTCTTGTGCCGTCGGAAATGCTTTGTTCTTAATATTTATATTTTTGTTTATTCAGTGTGTCAAGCACAATATTTTTAACATTTTTAATGTTATTCTGTTATGAATTGTTTAAAAGATTGAATAAAAATATACTTCTCAAAGTATCTGATGTTGACGGAATTCAAAGTTTAACTTATTCTTCATATCAGATTTAATAAAAATAAACCTAAAGAAGACTGTATATACAAATTAAAAATTAAATAAACATATTTTTCTCATTTTCTTTTTAAAGCATCAAGCTTCAACAACAGGACCTACAGAAGCAACAAATTGTGTTATGATCATATAATCCTTTTTAAATATCAGCAAAGATTACTGTTGCTTACGAAGTATGCTCAACCTTTTGTTGTTTGAACATCATGTTTGTTTTTAGTTCGTTTGTATCTCGTCATGTCTTTATGTATTTGATTTTTTAATTTAATTTCTTCCGCTTTTTAATTGCACGAATGAAAAAGTGAAAAAAATTGTTGCTTATGATGTTAAATTTCTGAGGGTTGCAATGTGAAATTGTTTCGGGCATATAATGACAATGGCAAACAAATAGATTAAACAACCACAAAGAAATGATACGGTTGTAAAAAATGGATACATTTTATGTGTCTTCGGGCTAATTATTTCTAATCTAATGAATGCATTTTTAATGTTTAAATCTAAATCGCTTTATACAAGGTTAACATAACGTGGCTGGTACTTAGGAACGTATTTCACCCTTAGAACTTCAATATTATGAAGAAAATGTCTTTTTTTTATTTAATCTTTACTTTTTTAAGTGTAATACTTTGCAATATTTCACATTCAGAATTTTCATTATTTAAAAAAAAAATCTTTTAAAATCATTATACAATAATTAAAAAAATTCGTTCATTAGACAAAAGAGTAAGTAGAAATACAATAAAAACGCACTATTTTAATATATTTGAGAAATTAATTTAAAAATACTAAATCAGAGAAAAATAAAAATAAAACTGAGAAAAATTCTTAGGCTAATTAATATGACTGCATGCTGGTTTTAACAAAAGTAAAAAAATTGTTAAGAAAAATGCTGATATCAATGCGCTGCATAAAAGAAATTATATAAAAGATTTGCGCTGCTTGTTGTCCTTGCTCTGATTGTTTCACTTCTTTTCAGTCACTTTTGTTTGATTTTTTTCTTTTGTTTGACAATTTTTCAATATGTTAGTTGTTTGAGAATAAAAGTAATTAAGAGGCAAATAATCGATGAAAACCCGTTTCTTACATTTAAGAATCATGATTTGCAGACTTTTGTTCAGCATGTTTCGATAAAAATCACTCAAAAGGATACCATTTATTTTTTGAATTGATTTTATATTTCTTTAGTTCTACCATGAGAATTATTTTAAAATAAATCTCCCAAAGAATTTCAGTATTTCAATATTGAAGACATTTTTCAAGGAACATTTTCTCCATTCTTTGATGTTTTTAATTTTAATCGATGCTTTGATTTGTAATACAGAGGGAATATAAATATGTAAAAAACGTCTTATGAAATTCTTTCAATTTGCTTTTTATTGAAAAACATCTAACAGATAAGTAAGAATGAACTTTCTGTGTATTTATTCATTTAAAAAAGTACTTAGTTTTTAAAAAGAAATATACAATTGCAAAATTAAATGAAGTTAATAAGTTTTGATATGTTCAATTATTAATTTTGTAAAATACAATAATCCTCTTACAAGGATTAAATGTATATATGGACTTTGGAAAATTAAATTAAATCATTCAACTCGATTAATTTTATTTCATACTACGTGGCAATAATACTTTTATTTAAATCAGTGCAAAAAAGATAATCATTTTTGTTTAACGCAGTTGTTAATTAAAATTTTTACTCCTAATATTAACCTTAAATTTTGATCAAAATAAGTAGTAAAACAGCACCATTGATTCGCAGCATGAATTTTTATTTAAAATAAAAAACAAATATACTAAAAACAAAAGAAATTCAAAGAGAATCAAATCACCGGGAATAATAATTTTGCTGTTCATTTTTGATGCTTTGAACATTTTAATAATAAATCTCATACATTCAATGTCTCCAGAAGTCAAGATTTTTCATCATTCAATCATTTTTTTAAATTTTTACTTACCTTTTTTGGAATTAGTTTTTATCAAGTCTTCATTAATTGATGATGCTTTACATGAATTAGGACTTAATGACGAGTATTCTTTAATAGGTGTGGTAGATTGTGGTGACATGATATTTGTAACTGACAATGAGTTTGTTGTTACATCATTTACATTAATACTAGTTTCTTGTTGATGATGTGAATTATTTATATGTGGATACCATGAAGTTGGACTACGAGGTGGCCAACACGAATCTCTGATGGATTGATGACGGTGATTATTATTCAATAAGCGTAATTTATCGTAAATTGTATCATTAACAATTGTTGGTTGATAGGAATTTATTTGTGCACTATTTGTTGATGGTTGATGACCTTGATGCTGTTGTTGTTGTTCTTTTTGTGCTGCCAAGTTTCTTAATACACGATTTATTGAAGACACCTTTAAATAAATAATTATTTTATTTTTGATAATTGTATAGTTACTGAATTAAAAAAGTTAAGTACAGGAAGGCACAAGTGTGTAAATATGTTTGGGTGAAATCGCTTAATTGTTTACGGTAATTTAATATTTTCAAATTATATGTATACATTAAAGCGACAAATAATTCTTTCAATTTTCCATGCCCATTGAGTCGATGAGAAGTACTTTAGATTATTATTTCTTTATGCTTCATTTATGGAACGCAAGGCAGGGAATATAAAGAATCTCAAATGGGAAGTCACCCTTGATGTTATACATAGGAGAAAAAATTGTAACAAAGAAAAAATTACAACAAAAGCCCATGTTGCTTTGTATATCTTATATGTACGTGCGTTAATTCTTCTCATTCCATTTATGAGTTGACTTCTGTTAAAAACTGTGTGAAATGAAACATTGTCAAGTCTATAATTATTGTAAAGAGTTAGGTAGTTATGATATATTTAATACATATCAGTACTAATGCAAACAATGATATACATTTCAATTTGGGCTTTACAATGCTTGTTGAATTTTTACATCGAAAAATATTTTTTTTATAAAAAAATTTAAATTTAATGGTTCATTAATTAAGTAAGGTTGTTTTTTCAGTCTAAAGCTTTTATTCTACTTAAAAAGTTAAAAAAAGAAACAATCAATTTTAAAATGCTAGTATTAGAAAGAACAATAAATACTGCACATTATTGAAATTTCATGGCAGCAAAAATTCATAATTTAAACAAATGAAACGAGCAGCTCCCTATCTTTTTTGTCTCCTTTTTATGTATGAAAAATTCATTGGAGTGTTAATAATTTTTCCGCAACTTCAGTTTCATAAAAGACTTTAATCGGTATGAAAGCGGGATTGAATTTTTCCTCCTATTTACTAGAATTCAAAGATTTTAGGGGTTGCCAGGTGTTAACAATGTACTTTGCAAAATATATTGTATTTTACTTTGGAAATTCTATTATAAATGATTATTACTATTTTTCGGTATCTTTTTAAGCGAAAAATTAAAGTACTCAAAAATTTAAGACATAAGGTAAGGTATTTAAATGTTCAAAAATGATTTAAAGTCAGTAAATTAGTTGCGTACCATTGAAATTTTTTAAAAAGAACTTCAGATATCAGGTAGAACTTATAAAATAGGCGTGCCTTAAGACGAAAAGTCACCGTACAGACAAACATACAAACAAATAATATAATATAACTATTAGATAACGCATTCATTCAAATATTTCATTTCAGTCTATTTAACAATTTTCATCGAGAAGATAACACACCGGCCCAAATAAATTTCTGAGCCGGTGGAAATTTTTTTTTCACCACACCAAAAAATTGTCGTATCTGTCATTTTTTGCTGAATGGTTACAGAATTTTTTCTAAGTTAGAGTATTATCATTCCTTGAGAATTTTTTGAATAAAAAGATGCAAGATGACAAAAAAGATCCACCATTATAATATTTGTTATCTACCGTTTTAAAAATCGCCCTATACCAAGAAAATTGTCTATTCTAGATATGCGCAGAAGTTTTGTCAAGTCATTTTCTTAGAAAACACGAATATGGGAAGAAGAAAGTAATAACTTGTTGGAATTAAACCAAATTGAATTTACTATAGTAGGCTCAATTCCGTTGTATTATAATAAAATTTCATGGATATTTTGGCACCAAATCACTGCTTGACCCTTTTCTTTCTTTTATCTTTTTTTTTTCATTTCTGCTGACATGTTACTAAAAAAATGTTACAATTGTTTCAAAGCGATCAAAAGCAAATTATTGTCGATTCATTTGACATAAATAAAAAAGCGGATTGGTAGCATGTGTATGTCACGTGCTTAGTTCTTCCGCTTTTGCATTCAAAAAGGATTTCTTATTTTATATGGATCTAACGCTTAAAAATCTACTTGAAATTCTTTTTTTGGGTGCTTTTATTTTTTTATCTTCTATATATTTTTTTTTAAATATAACAAAGACAGTTGACTCTTAAGAATAATATTTTTCATTTCAGTGAATTTTTACAATATGCGTGTTTCATCTTAATCCATGAGAAATCTGGACAAATAATCATCACAAAAATATTTGAAAAAGAGGAAAATAAAAAAAAAATTGTTGAAAAAAATGTCTTCTTTTTAATAGTTTTTCCAACCTTTGACTAATTTTAAAGTCTTAGAATAAAAATATGAATTCAAATTAATAATTTGTTTCCAACAAATTCAAAACCATGTATTGTTTAAGAAAAAAAAATATATAACTTATTTTAAACCTAAGTTTTGGGTTTCTTTTCATTTGATCGATCATTATCACCTTAACATGCAAACTAAATTTTAGTGTGTGGTTAAAACCAATTATTATTTAGTAATACCCAAGAGTCTTAAAAAGGAATGCTCAAATCGATGGTTGTCATAAAAATTAAAGTTTTATTGTTTTGTTTTAGCGAAAATGGCTATGCTGATGTGCTGGGATCGCTGCTTGAAAAGTTGGTACTAATTTAAAACTGCGTGAATCAATTGAGGGTCTGGTTTTTGTTAAGAAATGCTACTAAACTTCAACATTATTCCATTTTAATAGCCATATCTCGACTACATAAACCACTTTTAAGGTATTTGAATTTTGAACCAAACTATGATTTATTTAGTCGATGGGATAATGCCCAGTTAGGACATGTCAGTTTTTTCAAAAACATTAATAAAAAACAAAACATTCACAGGTCAATACGGTGTGTATATAATAATGGAGTGTAAAAATTGGCACAAAAACAGGAATGAAAAACTTAAATAAAATTGTTACAAATTTAAATACAGATCGAGCGAAACTTGACTTGTTTTTTTTTAAATAAATAAATAAAGAAAAAAGTTTGAGAAAAATGCAATTACATGAATTTATTCACTTGACATCCCTTCCAAATTATTCTTCCATAAATAAATGAAATTTTAATATTCTTGTAATAATAACTGTAACTATCTCGATTGGAAATTGAGATAGTGATAAGATCTTTAATATAAAAATCATTTTCCTAATGCTTCCTCTCTCATACATGCCTGTCTGCATGAAATGTTATGATATATTTCACCACCATCTCATTTTTAAGCATTTTACTGTCACATGCGTCATGTGTCTATGCTGAGCTGTTACTGATATGAATCTCTTCTCAATATGCTACGTTTGCAAAGCTAGTGTTGTTATATGTACAGATCCAACAAATCACATATTTTCAAATTTTATAAATATTTTAGAATTACATTAATTTTATCTGGCAACTCCGATAAATTGTAAAAGATTTCGAACCCTATTTTTAACAAAAGCGTAAGTATGAGTATACTAAGAGTCTTATTGAGTTATTAAAATATTATAATTTGTTTTTAATATGCTCAGTTTCTATTTATTTTACAAGCAGTATTAGAAAATTATTATGATTTTGAATTTTTCATTTGAAAATATTTATAATCTGATTATAATGTTTCGTAAATGCTCAAATAAAAAGATTCATAATCGTTTTCAATCTTAATTGGAATTTTGCCACTTGAGATACGACGCTTTTTCTTTGCACAACTTGCTTCCTGATTAATGTAATGGAAGAGTGTCTTTTGATGAATTCTTTCGCTTTTATTTTCTTTTATGTTAATTCTTAAAAAAGTCGATAAAAACATCTAGTTGGATCTATATTTTAAAAAAAATTTAATTCATGTATTCGAATACTTTACAAAATTTAATAAATAGTGATCCTAATTCATAGTTAAATAAATTTTATGATATGATAACATAATATTTATTGGTTTCATAGGTTTTTCTTACAGATAAGTAAGTTCAGAGTGAAAACAGTAGTTTTTTCACCATCGACAGTTTTTCATCAATAGCAGTCGTATAACGCTTAGTACGGTTAAACAATATTGTGTCGCAGTGCTTTTTTTTTTATAAAATGTAGCTTTTTAAAAACTTTAAAATTATATTTAATTTAAAAACATTAAATCAATTTAATTCATTAAACAACAGTTTCCCTAAAATGTTAGATTAAAAATCAAAAATTTGTTTGCTTTCCTATTTTAGAATTTCCCACAAAAATGTTTGTTTATATCATTAAGTTCCCACATATTTAATACTATGAGGAAGGAAAAGAGAAGCTTAAATAAGGAGGAAAAGTCAAAGACAAATGATATTAGCAAAAAAAAAGAATTTGTTTCCTTGATCCAAAAATGAATAACAACACTAATAACATCTTTTTAGAAATGTGATTAAACTTTTAATAACACAGAAAAGAAAACCTCTCGACCCCTTAACGAAGTGTTTGTTGCTGTGTACATTTGATAAATTTTCTATTGTATATGCATTTACCGCTTGCCGAAGTGATGAAAGAAAACTTAATAGCTGTGACAATAAGCAAGAGAGGAGGGTGGCTGAATACTACAAACGACGACAAGGGTGATAATATCCTTTAACAAGAATGCCGTTTTATTGCCATTTACAATTGTTATATCATTAAATAACGGTTCCAGAATGTTTACTGCCTCAGTTCATTTTGCTATGTGTCATTTTATGATAATGATTGTGTGAAAATAGAATAAATATAAAGAGAAATCGGTGCATTTTAGTCGAAGAGGAATTTTATTTACTAAATAAATATATAAAGTATATAAGAAAAAACTGAAGAAAATGCTAATAGTTTCACATAAAAATTATGCTCGCCGGCTTCGTTTTATAAATAAACTTCTTCAAAAACATTGATTTTTCTTGTGTCATATGATCACATAGGTTTAAAAATGTTTTTAAAATACGCATTTCTAAGTTTTATGAGCCAAAAAACATGAATGTATCTTTGGGATCGTTCACTTCGGAGCCGTCCACTTATGACGTCCAGGGGTTCAGCAAGAAAAGAACAATAGAAATTCCTTATGACGTCCAAGATTTTCGGGTGGTGGGGAGGGTTGGGGGTTCAAAATTTTTGTGACAGCTTAAGCAAAGGAAATTTTTTCCATACAAGTTTTGTGACAGTGAACGTCATAAGTGAATGACCCTTTTGCAAAAATGGTCTTTAAAATATGAAATCATTTTTAAATTTTTTAAAAAATAAAACTTCTGGAAAAAGTGTTAATATTTTGAAATTCAGTAAAATAATGCTAACATCTTTAAAGTGTGGAATAATTCTAGATATAAGACACCAAGGGTGAATAAATTACCTAAACATTAACAAATTTTTCTTGCACAATTTATTTTCACACTTTTAGATTCGGAAATCATTTTGATTTTTTTATGTGTATATCGGTTGAATTTAGAAAAATTTTGTGAAGGAATTTAATTCAGTGGTTATATTAATCAATATATTAAAAATATTTTAACATTGTTTAATTTTTTATATTATTCAAATTTTAAAAAAATTAGCTAGTCCCGACCAAACCCGACTTTTTTTACATTTAGTGTATACAGTTATACAGTTATATGGAGATCTACAATGTCCTCGAAAATTACTTATTTGGATTGTTTTTTGAATGTTAGCTTTCAATTTCATAATGAGGTTTTTGAACATTTTAGAATTTAACTTACACTTGGTATGTTATCATTAGTGCACACTCCTTCTTGTAACAGTCTATCACGAATTTCCCATGCAAATATCTAAGTAAATAAAATTGAAACAAAATTTTTTTTATCAAATTACGGAACAAGAAAAACAAAGCAAATATTTACCGAAGGACATTCCCTTTTGTACAATGAAATTTTATTAACAACTTCTGTTGTAGCTACACGAGGTTTTGAACCACCTATTGCTCGAGGTCTAATACTACCAGTTTCATAATACCTAATAAAAATTAAAAATTATTTGAATTAGAAATTCGTCTTTATACCTTAAATCAATATAATATACCTTCCTAAAATTTTACTAACGCAGCCATTTGAGACTTGCAAAATTCTTGATATATCACAGGGCCTTAAATGTTATAAAGAATTGCGTTTATTGACTCATCCAAGTAGCTTAAGCTAGAAGTTCCATAGAATTTCTGTAAATTTTAACATACCTTGCTCCCGAATGTGCCAGCTCTACAATCTTTTGCCTCGTTGAATCCGGCAATGGTCTCCCCCCTACAAAAACACCGCCAAGTTGATTAACTCCACTATGACCTTTTTTTTGATATTTATCATTTTTTAATCAAGAGGTTTATTTGGGGAAATATAATGTGTGTGTATAGTGCGACAGACGTAGTAAATGTTTTGATATATTTTTAATAAAAGTTTCAGATTTTTTTTGATTTTTTAGAATAACAAAAATATGAAAATAAACAAAAAAAGAAAATATAGAAAAATTAATTTTTCAGTTTTTGTTGTAATACTAATTTAGATTTTGAAAAAATTAAAATTTAAACTAATATAATAATTTCTTCATGTAATTTAAGTAAAATCACTTTCAAAAAGTTCTTAACTACTTAAATAGCAAATAATCTTTTTTTTAAATTTAACTATTCAAGCGTGAAGAAGATGTGACAAAAATAATAATTGTAATAAATATATATTATTCGAAAAAAATCGATATAATTAAAGGGATAGAAAGAGATAAAAGTCATAATCAGCATAAAGTGTTTAGGAATAAAGGAAAAGAGAAGAATTATGTTTGTCTGTCTATTTTGGTGATGAAATTTTTGAAAATACATGTAAAAATTAGCCAGGTGATTAGTTTTCATTTGGGTGAATTATTAATTTCATTTTCAAATAAAACTTTTTTCACAAAAACTATTAGAAAATTAAAAAAATAATTTTAGATGCACACCGCTTTTTAACGTGTGAATTGTAACTGTGCAAATATATTCTTAAATTTAAACTTAAAAAATTATAATTTTCTTCATTTGACTCTATTGCCTTCGCACCTTTTTGAGAACTTTTCAAGAAATGAAAGGAGAGAACCTGGAGTTAGGATGGTTTTATTCAATATAATTTTGTCAGATAAGAGAGCTTTATAACTTCAGTAAACGAACGATAAATTGCGTCGGATAAATGTTTATGAAAATATTTCAGTGCGTGATAGGCCCACTTCTTCAGTTTTACAATTTTTAAACATTAAAATAAATTAAAAACTAGAATTGTTTAAGCATTGGCTTAGTTATTAAATATATTCTTATTGCTCATATTTTCTCTATTTTTCAAATAATATACTTTATCGCCGGGAAGTATTTAATATTGAGTTTATTCTTTCATGGAGGTATTCATCATAAACAGGCTTTCAAAGACTTTAATAAACGTATGAAGCAACAAATTAGTTGATCACAGAAAACAAGAAAATATATATATAAAAATATTAAGATATACACAGATTATTCTTTTTCAATGTTTCATTATCGAAGCGTTAACAAATTCATGTGGACATTTTAGAACAATGCCACTCTCGATTAAACACTTGATTGAGTTCATTCATGGTATATTACACATCGTTATTATTTTTTTGTTGTTATCCTATGATTCACATCTTATCTCATTTTCTTATGTGTATCGATAGTATAATGAAATTTACTCAACTCTCAGAAAAAAAAGATATAAAATATCTTATTTTATTAAATATATGCCAGAATATATGGCTTCATGATCACATATAAAGATGTAAAATAATTTAAATTTTATATTTTGAAGAATAAAGTGAATATATATCGATTGTAATATAAATTTCCTCAATTTTTACAATATTTTATTTCTAAAATCAGCAAATTTGTACGGTTTATCGATTTTGTGTATTTTTCTGCTTGTTATTCGAAATATATTTTAGAACGACAAAACAAGATGCATTAAAGCAATCAAATTACATGACAGAATCGATATGATTTCGCTCTTATGTTGTTGTCATTTCAATGATTTTTCTCAACATTTTAGTTTCATTCCTTAAGTAGTAATGACCACCCAGTAAAAACGCATGAAAAATATAATTAAAAATCAAAATAACTCTAAGATTTAATTTTTTTTTACAAAAAAAAAAAACATAAAAATGGTAAAAAAATTTCGATCAATTTTCAATAACATGATTTTTTAAAATAATATTTTCAATGTCTGTTTCATTTAAAAACCAAAAAAAAATTAAAGAATAAAATATGATTGAGTTTTTTTCACATAATTTCATATCATAAAGTTAACAGTTTGTGTGGCAAAAATGCATCGCAAGGCAAAAATACATTAAAGTAATTCAATCTGTTTAATTATTCGCTGGGGTGTTTCTTTTGTAACGTAATTCTTTTAGGCTATGTTAGGCCGTTAGTTTGGTGGTCTGTCTCGTTTGAATTGAAGTTAATGTTCAATCATGCGAAAAAATTCTCTTACATCATCTTAATGTCACAATTAATTGAGGTTTATGCTACATATGTAGACTCTTGATGACAGAGGTAGTAAACTATGTTCTGGGAAACTTATAAAAGTTATGTATACTTTAAACTTTTTCTCATAAATAGACAGACAACGTAATCGATAAAAACTGCTTTTTTCGTTTTAAATCACTAAAAGAAAATATTGAATAACCTTTATTTTCCTTTTTTACAGACATTAAAACTTATCGAAACTTCTGGTCGGAGTATTAAGATCTTGAACAATTTTTTTTGCAATTTTGATTTTAAACAGTTTTCTTTATATCCTTAATAGAAAAAAAATATTAACATTATACAAAGGATATCAAATATTTTAAAAGCAAAAAGTAAATATATGTAAACAATGTTTTGTAGCATTTAAATTTAACAAATTATTGAGACTATTATTATTTCATTATTTTGAACAATAATCGTGGTAAAATATTGTCAAAAGAATTTTAAAAAGGCAACCCGTAGTGAACAAAAAGAACGGCAAAAGCATTACAAATCATTACATGATGGAATTTGTTTTGTTAAGTAATTGTTACACCATAAATGGACCTCATACTGACTTCTTTCTTCTTAAACATTTCCTTTTCATGAGAACTATTTACTCTTAATTTCTTACATGTTGATGTTAAAAATAATAACAAAGGTATTTAAAAGAAAATGCATCAAAATTTGAATGATGATATCAAAGGGAATTGATTTATACTAAATTGCACTAATCGTACAATTTTACATGAATTATAAAGAAACTTTCTTATTCTCTTATTTTTGTTGGGCCGTGACGTTTTTTTAACGATTTTTGCTTAACGGAAAAAAAATGATTTGAATTTTCACTAACACTATCGTACAAAATATCAAAAATCTTAATTATTCTATCAATAATTTCAAATATTATGATTTGAATACAAAAGTAGGTGATAGCTGTTCTGACTATTTTAAGAGCTCTTACTTCATTATTTATTGATATTTTCGTGACTTTTTAAATTTAATTTTCGATTTTGTAAATTTGAACAGCAAAAATTTAAAACATTAGCTGTTAAAAATTTTAACTTTATTTTGTTCATTTAAGTATGATTCCAGTACAATTTATTAAGAATTTTTGAAGCTACAAAAATAGATGGGAAACTTAATTCTCTTTTCAAAAAACCAAATCTTAAATTTGTAATTTATAAGAATAAGAAAATAATCAAGAAAAACAAAGCGTCACTCATGTAAAATTTGTTTATTACGAGGCCCTGTTAATTTTATTTAAATCAACAGTATTTAGATTTCCCAAATACTTTTTATAACAATTTTTTTTTATTAAATTAATTTTATTTTTTTTATTCCATTTATAAATTTTCTTTTAAAAATGGTTATTCAAGTGGAAATTTTTTCTCTATTCAAATATTACTTTTTCAAAAAATTCATTTGAAGTTAGTCATTCGAAAATTTTAGTGGATTAAATTTAACAGTAATGTATGACCCAATAGTTTGATTGCAAATTTATATCATGCACTTAGATACTGTTGTTGATGCTTAGAAAAAATGTTATAATACTTAAAACAACGCTAAAGAAATATTATAAACCAGGAAAATTCGTTTTATTATTTATTATTTCTCATGAATGTTTATGAATCCAGAATGAAGTAATAATTTATAATTTCAAAATATTTGCTACGAAATGTAAATGTTTTAAATGATTTTAATTTGGTTCTTAATACCATTATGTAATACAATGTAAAAAAATCTATTGAACAATGCAACTTTTCAAACAGGGAATATGTATTTAAAAAATCACAAATATAATTTTTGGAAAGGTAGTATAACTTAATTTTACAATATAGGATTTAATATTTCTATCTTTATTTCCTTTCCCTTGGTACAAGAGAGAATAATAAGAAGTCTGGATTACTCTATAAAATTTCTTTTATTTTATGGATTTTTTTTTATTTTGAATTGACCAAAATGTTTTGTTGAATTCATGCTGCGCGCTATTTTAAAATTTTCTTTAAATTTATCACCTTTTCATTTTACCGACATTAGAGTTTTTTTTTCAAATAATAGATGGAAAATAATGAAATTGTAAAACATAACATTCTTAATACTTTAAAATTGCCATTGAAACATTTAAGTAGCACAATATAAAGGCCAACAAACAAGCAATAAGGATTGAATGATTTATGGATGCTCAAATGTTTTACTCAATGAATTTTTTCTCTTTTAGTTTTTGCTTTCTTGTTTGTTCTTGCACTTGGATTCTTAACACTCAATACTAGACAATTTAACAATAACAACAAAAACGTCAAGCATCATAAAGCGATGACAAGAAAATTTGTTAAAGTTTCTTTTTGATGTTTCGAGTGTGTAATATACTGTTGTCATTTTTGATTTACAAAAGAACATTTTTCTTAACATGCAATAATTTATAGTAATTTTTGCTTTCATATGATGTGACAAAAATGGGAGTTTCGAATTATCTGAGTTTTTTGTATTCGAAAACGCATAGAATATAAATCACCTGGCTATTTCTAAATGAAATTTTTCACAAAAAATAAAATATTGTAAAACCCTAACCCCAGTAAATTTCACAAAAAAAAAACATTGACAATCGTCTGTTAACAAGATAGTTAATTGAAAAAATGCAACTATTGGTTAAATCATATTTAAAAATTTTAATTGCATTTTTCTTTAATATTAAGTTTGAAAATTACCTCTACCTTTATGCGGCATATCGTCGATTGATATTCTGTCCATCATCATTGTTGACGACCATGGAGTAACCGCTGCCCCCATGGTCGAAGAGTTCTGTAGCGCGAATATTTTGGTATCTGTTCGCTCCTTTATTAACACTTATTTCAACTCAAGTTTGTTCAATCCTTTTTTTTAATTTGTTTTAGAAGTTTTATATTTAATCAATTCCATTCACAATTTTATTAATTTTCTGCACAATTTTTATTTTAAATTTCACTAATTCTCAATAAATAGTTTTTATTTGCACTCGAGTATATATATATATTTTTTGTGGTTCTATAAAATTTACATCTAAAGATTGCAATAAAGAAAAGAAAAAATATGAATAAATTCAAATACATAATTAAAAAATGCATCTATATAGTTCAGTACTCTAAAAAGAAAAATTCATACAGTAGTACGTTATTGTTGTTATCTTGGATGAAGCATGAATCATAAAACAAATGGTTGTATATAGCCGATTCCTTACAAACCATTAACTTTGTCATATTTCAACTCATGCTCGTTATTGCTTTACACATTGAATTGTAATAAATTATCGCAAGAGTATGAACGCGTATACAGAATAAAGAGTGAAAATGATGAAAAGAAGTATGATCGGGGGAGAGAATCGTATTTTTTTTATGATGAGTTTGCCAAGTGGTTGAAAGCGATATGAACAATATTTATTATAATACGTTATAGGTTGTCATTTTTTTACAGTTTGTTACGGAATTTGTTTTTTTAAGTTGACAAAATTGAATCATAATTTAAAAAAAACTACTTTGCTTTAATTTTTAATAGAATAAGTTTACATATTTGATGATGTAAAATTTCACATTATGTCACTTAATTATTTTTTTTTATTTTAATAAGAATAACTTCGTTTTTTACCATTCGTTAAAAAAATAAACTTTCATTTTAAATTGCACAATAATATCCACATAGGTTTTTAAACAATACTTTTTCATACTAGAAAATGATTTTTTTAATGAATGTAAATTAAAATGAAATTGAAAACTTTGTTATACACACTTAATTCAAGTATGCTCCAACTACAACTGAGAATGTTACATTCGACAGTACACTCTGCGAACGAATGCATTGCACAATGTAATGTACCTTCATTAAGGAGATAAACATAAATATTTATTTTCGACTGTCTCATTTTATACGTCCTTTAATTGGATAAATCTTTATAGAAGGCGGGCCAAAACACAACCAATCGTATACCCTTCTTAATAACAAGCTATATACATTTTTTTCTCTTCAAATTTCTTTTTTGTTCTCTTTTATTTATTTTTTGCTCTGTTTTCATGCATGCTCTTGTTTGTTTTAGTAATTTATTCTTACTTACTATCTGCACATTTTTCTTTTTTTGAGCTTTAAGTTTTCTCTTTCTTGTATTCATTAAAATTGTTCATAATGTATACTAGAAATAAAAAAAAAGTATCATTTGATTTACTTTATAAAAAGGATGCTGAAAAACTAGATAAAACATATATTTATCTTACCTGCATATTTTGAAATTATTAAAATGAAAGAAAATAAATTTATTATTGGAATTCCTTTACTGATTATGTAAATATTGTATATGCGAAAAAAAATTAATTGTGTTGACCAAATTATGAATGGTTTTAAAATGATAAAGAAAGAAAGAAGAGAAAATGCACAAGATATATGTCTTATTATTTTTCTTTTTATTGTTATTACAACAAGCATTTGCTAAATACGATAACGAACACACTTATAAAGTTTGATATTTTTTTCCATAAAAAATTATTGTAAAGGATTTTTACGCAATTTTGACTTTCTTCAGTTTATGAGCAAATCCTCTTATCGACAATTGAGTTTTAATAGGATTTTATGGTACTTTATACGTGAAAAACATCATACAATTTGATTGATTGAATATTTTTTTTATTATAATAATAATGACAATAGTAGCAATCTTATTGAATAGTTCAAAAATCATTGTCTATGAAAAAACTTACATTTTCTATTAATTTATTCTAAAATTCAGTAGATTAACATTGTTTGAATTGATAAAATATAATAACGACTTTTAAAAATTCGAAATTCCTTTTTTTTCGTAGTAATCACAACCCTGATTATTACAGTCTCAAATTCATTTTATTTTTGAGTGAAAAGTCTAAAAATAAATTTGTTGCATTTATCCACAGAAAACTAATAACATGAAAATTTGGTGAAGACCTTGTTAATTAAAGATATATTTGTTTGAAATCATTAGAGAATTGTTCAAGTAAGTGGACATATTTAAATGCAAGCTCATTGAAATTATTTTAATTTTTATATTCGTTTTTTTTTTTATTTTTGAGATCACTTTATTGATCTCAAATTTTTTATAGTATTGATTTTATAAACAATTTAATAAAAATATTTTCAAAAAAAGCATCACATCTTGTGATAGTTTTTAAAGAAAACAATAACACTTTTTAGATCATTATTATTCAGTAACCTTCACTTATATTATTGTTTCTTGTAGAATTCAATAATTCAATGTCATCAATCTTAAGATATTTGCAACGGGCAAAATTAACTAATATTCCAAATCCCAGAATATCCCTTATTTTACCTGGTATCTTGAAATGTAGAAATATTTTTAATTCAAATTATTATCAACAACACCAACAACGTACTTACAAGAATTTTGGACACAAACCAACGCCTGTACCTCGCGTTACAAAATGGTACCACTTATTTACTGGAGGAATCATCTTTCTATGCTGCTTGAATTATCGACTGTATGTATATTTTTCAAAACAAAAAAGATAAATTATCTCATTAGCATTTCCTCATTTATTTTATTTTAGACTCTTTGATCTGGACAAACGTGAACTTTTTCCGACTCCAAAAGTAGATGCTGAAGCAAAAATTAAAACTAATGAAAAGACTTTTGAGCCTAAAACGGAAGAAACATTAAAAGAAAAATCAGATGAAGATGATGATGAGAGCAGTGAGTCAGACGAAGAAGACAGCGAAGAGAAAAAGAAAAGGCGTAAGGAAAAAATTGGATTTCGGGATAGAAAGGTAAATCATGTTTTTAACACTTATTATGATATCAAAAGTTAGTGAATTGAAATTATCAATATAAATATATATTGAAGAGTTTAATTTGATATTTATAAATTATGAATTCGCCATTTAACTCCTATTTCTTTATTAATTCGAGATTATTGATTACGAGAACCGTCTGAGAGCGTTTTCAACGCCCGATAAAATCTTTAGGTATTTTGCCACAGTAAAAGTAGTACGTCAAGATTTTACATATATCTTCATGACGCCTGACGATTTTCTTAGGTAAAAATGATGAATAAAATTAACAACACGATTCAAATTTGACAAAGATAATTGTCTTCTTAAAATTTAATTTAAAAAAAACCATGAAGTTACAGATTTTATTATTTCTGTTGTAGAGCTATAACTCCAAATTTAAAACAACCAGAAGTTAAGTATATTCAAATACTCATAAGGAATATAATGGTTCACTAACTTTTATTGCTAGATGAAAAATAATAGTTATAATACCCAATTGAAAACTGTAACATCTACCTTTATGATTTTCTGTATAAACCCATTAATACCTTTAGATTATTGAATATGAAAATCGAATAAGACAATATTCAACTCCTGACAAAGTTTTCCGATATTTCGCAACAATTCAAGTTCCCGTTGTACATCATGGAGGTGAAAGTTATGAAGTTTTTATGACACCTACTGACTTTTTGACTAGTTTAACTCCTGGGATCAAACAAATTGAGGGTAGATTGAAAATATTGTCTCCTTTTTTTTCCATAAAATTTTTGATTTAACCAACTCAGTTATGCACTAATTCACAATTCAGTTATTCAGTTATGCAAATTAAACTATTATTTTTCGTTTTTTATTTCGCTAATCAAACCAGTTTTATAAATTATCATGTGGTGATATTATTACATATGTTAATTCTTTCATTTATGCTTTAAATTACTTTTTTAATGAGTATCTTTTTTATTACACGCTTTTGTTTTTATGTTTTAATATTTTAAGATAATAATTTCTTATTAAGAGTTTATATTAAAAATAATAATTTACATTTTTGCAGGCTTGGGACTCGATCAGTATAAAAAATATGACCCTAAGGTATGTAGTATTAACATTTTAAGGAATTAATATGTTAAAGTTTGATCATTTCTTATTTATAAGTATTGAAAAAAAAAATTAAAATATATTTATTGGTTTATGATTTTTACAACAAAAAAAGATAAATTTAACAGAATTACGATGACCGTTCAAAACACCTAGAGTTTTTTACCTCTAAACATTTCAAATTTATAAAACCTAAATTTTCTGCAGTAGGAATTTCAATCCCAGAATCCATAAAAAAACCGGGATCCCGGGGTCCGGACCAATTTTCCAATATCCCGGGATTAGAAAAGCTTCAATCTTAAGTTAAAAATAGATTTTATGATCATTCGAATGCATCTCTAATAAAGCTGCGATAAAATCTATTATTTGAAATAAAAATTAAAGTTCTTGATATTTTATAAAACAAAAGTTTTAAAAATTTTTACAAAATAATAATCAAATTTTTACGAAAAATTTTAAATCATTTTTGATTTGAAAGGTTAAAAGATAATCTTTATGAAAATTTACAAAAGCTTCAATTGTAAAGTTAAAAAGTTAAGCAAGACAATAAAAGGAAATATTGATACATTTGGAAAAACTTTGTCTTTCTGGCTTAGTTTTCAATTCAAAAATTTTTTTAATGACTAATACACCTGATTGGAATTGAAATCTCTTATTTTAAACACAAACGCAATTTTATACCGTAGTTTTTGAACTGAATCTAATCTAAAGTAATCCCGGGATTGAAATTTTGGGCCGGTATTGAAATCTCTAGTTTTGAGTATGTTTTTTACAAGACTACTAATATAAATTCTTCATTTTTTCTTTAAGTTTAAGTTTATGAATTTTAAGCTGTGGTTATTTTAGTCAAACGTTATTTCAATTCCAGTTGTTTATACGATGAAAAAAGTGAAAAAAAAAGGCTTAATAAGGGATAGTGGCTTGTTAAAAAATTGCAACCAACAAGAAAAATTAATAATTTTCATTAAAATCTGAAATTTTTCAAGTCAAAACCACCTTGAAACTATTCTAGCTATTAATATCTATCATTTAATCAATTTTAATTTTACTCGTTAAGTGTTTTACCTTCAAACATATGCTGAACAAAACTTGGTCTTTTCACAAGCCTTTCGATGGTACGGTGTGAATATATCCGCTTTAAGTATCTACCTGAAACACTAGTTGAAATTCAAATTTTTAGTGTTCGAAATCTCGCCAAAAAACTCGTGAAAAAAAATTTATGACATTTTTAAACACAGAGGTTATGGATCTGTTATTGACTGTGTTCCTCTTTTTGAATGTATATCAGTTTATAGCTTCAATGCATCTCGATGCTTTTTTGATCTCTTTAAGCATTGCTGAATTTGCTTGAATTTTAAAACAAATGCTATGTTATCGTAAGGATAATTTAAAATGAACTTTATTTATCATTCAAAGTTGCGGAACTGACCATATCCAGTGCCCAAAAATTCAAAAATCTTTATTTTCTCAATTTTAGATTCTGATTCCATTTTCAAACAAATTTTTTGAAAACTTCCCTTGTGACTTCACAAATTGAGATTGAGAAGTGAGAAAAAAAAATCTCACGAGATTTGAAAACTCGCGAGATTTCAAATCAAGTTTTCTCTGAGAAAATTTTTCTCACGAGTTTTTCGGTGAGATTTCGAACACTACAAATTTTATAACGATAGAAATAAATTCGAATTTCTGAACTCACTCATCACGTGTTTTTCATTCGAAATTAAAAAATCTTGTGGTCGGCAAAGAGCTTATAAAATCAGTTGAAACTTAAAAGATTTGAATTTGAATTTTTTTTTATTTCAGGCGGGAAAATTTAAATTTAGGAAAAACGTTATTTGTTTTTAAGTCATATTGCTTTTAAATAATGTGATACTTTAATAATTTCTGAATTTGTGAGCTGAAGTGGCTCGGTGGCGGAATGGTTTAGTACTTCGGTACCTAATTATTGCAATACCGACACAGCGATCATGGGTTCGAGACTGGACATGAGAAATTTTTCACTTGTCCTTTTTTGAATCATATGTACTGGAAATGAGGCTCACAGCCTCATATATAGGCTACAGGCAGTAATGTCATCAAAGGAGTGGTTCGGATCCCACTATAAATTGTAGGTCTAGGTTTGAGTGCAGTGATTTGGCGCATCCTCACTCGTTAAACTCCCATTAGCTGCGAAACGCCCTAGCGCACCTCTGGATCACTATTGATCTGAATAGGTAAAATTTTTTTTTTTTTTTAATAATTTCACCCTCTTTTTTGGCCAGAAAACATTCTAATATTCATAAAAATAGCATTTAGTGTACTTGTTTCTGGGATTTCTAAAAAGAATTTTTTCGGATCCTCGAAAAATAAGATCCGTTTGCCAACCACAGATTTGAAAGTTTCATTATAGAGTCATGCGCATTCATAAATATGTCGCAATATTTGAGAGCTTCAATTTCATTTAAAATATGAATATTGTATTGGAGCAGTAGAAGTGGTCGAAAACTCGATCGCAAGATATGACCTCGACATATAGACAGATAAACAGACAGAAAAGAAAGCAAGTTAAGAAAAACGTGGTAAAAATGAGTTATAATTCTTATCGAACTTGAAATTATAAAATTTTTGAATACTTTAATTTCACTAAACTTACGCTTTACGAAAACCAGCTTAACATATTTATTTACCACTTTATTTTCATGAACAACATTCTAATCAAAATACTTTATAAAAAAAAAACTTTTTAAAAAACTACGTTTTTCGCGTAGACTAAAAAGTAGAAAATAACTTTTATTCTTGGTTGTAAAGAATTTGGTTTTAAATTTTCAGATTATATTTAATAAATTTTTATATCCTAGTCAATATTGTTCACAAAGTTTCGAATAAGTGCACTTTGATCTTATCGTATAACTCAACAACTTAAAAACGTGGGCGCATTAATTTAAGTTTATCATAAAGTATTGATTTCACATAAACTTATTTCTCCTCTTATAATGCGCCCACGTTTTTAAGTTGTTGAGTTATACGATAAGATCAAAGTGCACTTATTCGAAACTTTGTGAACAATATTGACTAGGATATAAAAATTTATTAAATATAATCTGAAAATTTAAAACCAAATTCTTTACAACCAAGAATAAAAGTTATTTTCTACTTTTTAGTCTACGCGAAAAACGTAGTTTTTTAAAAAGTTTTTTTTTTATAAAGTATTTTATTTTCAACTTTTTAGTCTTATTCTAATGAAATAGAGAAATAAAGATTATAGGGGGTTCATAGGTTACAGGTGTGTTGAACTTCACTTCGTTGCACTTCGTTACGTTCAACTGTTTATAGATTACAGTAGGTTCATAGGTTACAGGTGTGTTGAACTTCACTTCGTTACGTTCAACTGTTTATAGATTACAGTAGGTTTATAGGTTACAGGTGTGTTGAACTTCACTTCGTTACGTTCAACTGTTTATAGATTACAGTAGGTTTATAGGTTACAGGTGTGTTGAACTTCACTTCGTTGCACTTCGTTACGTTCAACTGTTTATAGATTACAGTAGGTTTATAGGTTACAGGTGTGTTGAACTTCACTTCGTTGCACTTCGTTACGTTCAACTGTTTATAGATTACAGTAGGTTCATAGGTTACAGGTGTGTTGAACTCCACTTCGTTGCACTTCGTTACGTTCAACTGTTTATAGATTACAGTAGGTTCATAGGTTACAGGTGTGTTGAACTTCACTTCGTTGCACTTCGTTACGTTCAACTGTTTATAGATTACAGTAGGTTCATAGGTTACAGGTGCGTTGAACTCCACTTCGTTGCACTTCGTTACGTTCAACTGTTTATAGATTACAGTAGGTTTATAGGTTACAGGTGTGTTGAACTTCACTTCGTTGCACTTCGTTACGTTCAACTGTTTATAGATTACAGTAGGTTCATAGGTTACAGGTGTGTTGAACTTCACTTCGTTGCACTTCGTTACGTTCAACTGTTTATAGATTACAGTAGGTTCATAGGTTACAGGTGCGTTGAACTCCACTTCGTTGCACTTCGTTACGTTCAACTGTTTATAGATTACAGTAGGTTTATAGGTTACAGGTGTGTTGAACTTCACTTCGTTACGTTCAACTGTTTATAGATTACAGTAGGTTTATAGGTTACTGGTGTGTTGAACTCCACTTCGTTTCACTCCGTTACGTTCAACTGTTTATAAATTACCAGTTTTCAATGGGAAATTAGTAACGACTTTCAAAATTTTTCATTCGTTTTATAAAATTTAATTTTTTTAAAGCATTCATTAGTAAAGTACATTAAAAATCACTCGTAAAGATTTTGTGTTTATCTGTACCATTTCTACTTCATAACGTGTGGATTCTTACTATAAAGATGCAAATCACATATGTAACGTATTTATAACGGATTTTCAAATTTAAATTCAATGAATATCATTTATATGTTATGCAAAAATACGCCAAGCCGTTAATAAAAAGAAAAGTCAATTTAATTAAGTTGGTGAAGTGTTATAAATAATGCAATACATTTAAAACAGCATAAATTTATGCTCAAACTATGTGTGTTAAATGCACATCGCATATTAATAGTTATTTTGCATTAATTCGTAACGGACTTGTGCTTAACGGTTTTTTTGAAAATTCAAATTTTCACTTACGAATATTCATGAAAAAATTACATGTCAATTTTTTTGTCTTACCAGAATATCTTTAGCTGCTCAAATTTATGGTATAATTAATAATTAGTAATATTAATTAAACTATAATGAATCATATAAATGACTTTAGAGCATCACATGTATAATATTTAATACAAATCAAAATTTTATATCATTGACATTGGATTTTTTCCCATATAAAAAACTTTTACATAAATTGTACTATAATTAAGCATTTTTGTGTTTCCAAAGTGTTAAAATATTGTATTGTCACCGGGAATACGTGTGCATTAAAAATTTTAGCTCGATTGGAGCAGTAGAAGTGGTCGAAAAATCGATTACAAGATTTGCCCTCG